TGAGAAGAAGGCAACTGTCTGTCTATAAGATCAAACAGTTGGGATACATAAAGCAAAAAAGTATAGGGCCAAGACAGCTCCCTTGAGGAGCCACGTAATTAACATCGCAGACTTCAGAGAAATTGTTATCTAGATCCACTTTTTGTTTTCTGTTAGAGAGAAATGACTTTATCCGTTCAAGAGCTTTGTCCGTCACTCCAAATTGATATTCCAGTACGTCAGTAATAGTTTTATGATCAATTGTAACAAACGGGGAGCTTAAATCCAATAGCACAAGGAAACAAACTTCTTGCCTGTCCATACTCAGAAGAATATCATTTTGCACCTTTAAAAGAGCTGTCTCAGTCGAGTGATATTTCCTGAAGCCAGATTGGGAGTGGTGCATTTTTTCAAAATGGCGCAGCAATTAGTTAGCAACAACCATTTCAGTGATCTTTGAGAGAAATAACAAATTGGACACTGGCCTAAGATTCTCAAATAATGGCTCCATACCAAGCTTTTTCAAAATGGGCTTCAATAGAGCAATTTTCCAGTGATCCGGGACTCTACCCTCTTGCAAAGAGAACTTTACAATTTTAGTAATAGAGAGTACAAGTTCAAGAGAACAGAGTTTGACAAGCCATGATGGAATCGGACTAAGTTTGCAACTGGCACTGGACAATTGGATAATAACATCATGAATATCCTGGAAAGAGAGAGACTCAAAAGATTCCAATTTGACTTCGAGATTCCGATATTCTACCAACGGGGGCTCAACAACGATACGATCCACATTTTCTCTAATCAATTCAATTTTGCGAACAAAATAATCATTGAACGTGTTTGCAAGTTGACCAAGATCGTTATGGGAGGTAAAGGATCTTCCTGGGGTGCATCACAAAGGGAATTCACAATTCTGTAAAGTTTCTTTGGGTCATGAGAGTTATCATTAATGAAGGTAGTATAATAATCAGTTCGAGCTTTATTCAATAAGTGACAATATCCGTTACATATCTTTTGATAGGCAATCCAGTCCACTTCTAGTTTTGTTTTCCTCATCTTTCTCTCTAGATTCCTACGCTTTACTTTCAATTGTCTTAGTTCAGCATTGTACCACGGAGTCGATCGCTTAAGGGCGTGGTTGTTTAAGGTTACAGGACACCCTTTTTGGCGTTTTGCGGAAAATCGCTACTGCGCGCTCAATATCAGTCCGATTTTCATCAAATTTTCACCAAATGTTTCTCAGTGCATGCAAAATATGGTAAAGTTGTAAAATTAACAAACAATAAAATAATGTAAGAGTTATTCAGGAAAATCTTAAATCGCGGTACCTTTACGCTTTTGAGTTGTGCTCCTGCTAGTTTTAAGTTATATTTATGAAAATA